CTGCGGCAAGTTGAATCGACCTAGCTTCGTGTGACCACAGGTGTGTTCCTGGAGGGGCCCACCCTATGATGGAAGACAGGTTGGAAGACAGGTTGGAAAAGGATGAAAAGTGAAGATAGAGATGGGTGATGTGGGTTCACTGAGGTCCATGAGATAACTGGACCAGGCGAATGAAGACTGAGAGAAGAATGGGCACAAAAAGAGAAGAAGAGAGGGTGAAGAAGCCATAAGAAGGGCTGAGAAAGAGACAGATGGTTTTTGTTGTTGTTGTTGCTTTTTGAGACAGAGTCTCACTCTGTTGCCCGGGCTAGAGTGCCGTGGCCTCAGCCTAGCTCACAGCAACCTCAGATTCCTGGGCTCAAGCGATCCTCCTGCCTCAGCCTCCTGAGTAGCTGGGACTACAGGCATGCACCATCATGCCTGTAATTTTTTCTATATGTTTTTAGTTGTCCAGCTAATTTCTTTCTATTTTTTTAGTAGATATGGGGTCTCACTCTTGTTCAGGCAGGTCTCAAACTCCTGAGCTCAAATGATCTGCCCACCTCAGCCTACCAGAGTGCTAGGATTACAGGCATGAGCCACCATGTCCAGCCAAGACAGATGGTCTTTTAAGGAAGTGATAACACAATTCCTGATCAACAGGCTGTCTGATGGCGTCCTGTAGCCCTTTGAGCTAGCTATGAGAAATAAAAGGGATTTGTTCTATGTATGTAGACATTGCGTGAGATATGGTCAAGTCAGTGTGGCCACAGGAGGAGAGAACAAGGCTTGGAAGGAAGAAGTTTATTATACTCACGGGTTCTAGAGCAGGGGTCACTGCATGTCATGCAGGATCATAGAAGTAGCACTGGTCAGTCAGGAGGAAGAAAGCAGTGAAGGGAAGGCATAGGTCAGAGCCTCTATTTGGTTTCCATGGGGAAAGCGAGGCAGAGTAGACAATTTAGGCTCATCTGAATAATTCCAGTGGGCTGTGGGCTATCAGATTGGTCTCTAGTTCCCTGATTCCTGGCCCTGCCTGGGATTATTCAGGGCAGGGGAAATATTGGCTTGGTATGTGAAAATTGGATAAGGAGGTGACTAGGGGATGGGTTAGTTTGTGTGTGAAAGACACGCTCCCACCAAGCCCTTTGCTATCTAAGAAAGGGTTACCCCTGGGAGGAGCAGTCTTTCCCCGAGTCTATAAAACCCCCCAAACATGAAAGCATCAAGAATACAGAATCATACATAGTCATCAAGAATACATAATCATACAGAATACATAGTCAATATAGTTGGATCTGTGATGAATGGATTCCAACCAGACAAACACAGAATCTAAGAAAACATGGAACAGAGGCAGGAAAATCACTTGAGCCCAGGAGTTTGAGGTTGCTGTGAGCTAGGCTGATGCCACAGCACTCTAGCCCAGGCAAGAGAGTGAGACTCCGTCTCAAAAAATAAAAGAAAGAAAACACAGAACAGGATCTAACTCTATTTCAGATTGGATCTATTTGTTAGGGCGGCTGTATCACAGACTGGGCTGTTTCAATAGCAGAAATTTATTTGCTCAAAGTTTTGGAGGCTGGAAGTCCGAGATCAAGGTGTCTTCTGAGACTTCCCTCCTTGGCTTGTAGGTGGCCATCTCTTCCTGCATCTTCACATGGTCTCCCCTCTGTCTGTCTGTCCTCTTCTTGTAAGGACACCAGTCATACTGGAGGAGGGCCCACCCTAATAACCTCGCTTTAATCCAATCACCTCTTTAAAGACCCTGTCTCCCAATACAGTCCCATTCTGAGGTACTGAGGGTTAGTACTTCAACAAATGGATTTTGAGGAGATATAATTAAGCCACAACGCAGATAGAGCTAAGTACACATCTTGCGGATTCCCAAGCCGGGAGCTCCTGTGGCAAAGCTAATCTGAAGTGGGTGCTACTGGGCAAAAGGAAATAGACTCACAAGCCGAATATATACAGCCTGCGAGCGGGGCAAGGCAGGGCTGGGCGGGGCCTTTGGGTGGGCTCTGCCGCAGGGTCTTTCAGCAATGGGAAAGTACTAGTTGCTCTCAGGGCTCAGGCACCTTGACGCCTGTACTGCAGCAAATCGGAAAACATAAGCAAAGCCCAGCATTCTGACTTGCGTGTTTGCCAGTCTGAAATATCTGGTGTGTAGTTTGATGATTTGGTCTTTGCGATCTAGGAGCACAGGTTCATTCAAAGACCATCTTTCCTTGTGCTCAGAATGAGGCAGAACCAGAAAACATCATTCTCCATGTCCTGCAAGTCTTGGAAGAACCTTCATAGAAGTCGAAGCTACTTTACAGAGAAGATAGATTCGTATCACTATTTGGACAGGAGAAGATACCCACCTAGACCAAAACTAGAACAGGCTCTGGATACAGACCCACTTGGAGCAAAGCAGTCAACTTCCCTGAACCGTAATTTTTCAACTGAAAACAGAGATAGGAATGCCTGGCTCATATTTAAATGTTATAAGTTGATAGCATTTATTAATATAACTTTGGTTGGCCAGGTGCGGTGGCTGACGCCTGTAATCCTAGCATTCTGGGAGGCCGAGGCAGGCAAATCTCTCAAGATCGGGAGTTCGAAACCAGCCTGAGCAAGAGTGAGACCCCGTCTCTACTAAAAATAGAAAGAAATTAATTGGACAACTAAAAATATATAGAAAAAATTAGCAGGGCACGGTGGCACATGCCTGTAGTCCCAGCTACTCGGGAGGCTGAGGCAGCAGGATTGCTAGAGCCCAGGAGTTTGAGGTTGCTGTAAGCTAGGCTAACGCCACAGCACTCTAGCCCAGACAACAGAGTGAGACTCTGTCTCAAAAAAAATAAATAAAAGTCTTGCCCCAGAAAGACAAATGCGACATGATCTCACTTATATGTAGGATCTAAAAAGTCAAACTCACGGAGGCAGAGAGTAGAATGGTAATTACCAAGGATAAAGGGAGGGAAGATTAAGAAGATGCTAGTCAAAGACTACAAAATTTCAGTTAGACAGGTGGAATAAGTTCAGGAAACCTATTGTACAATATATATCACATACTTAAAAATTGCTGAGAGTAGATTTAAGTGTTCCTACCACAAAAAAAAAAATAAGTATGTGAGGTAATAGATATGTTAATTAGCTCAATTTAGTCATTCCACAATGTATACATGTATCAAAACATGTTGCACACCACAATTTTTGTTAATTAAAAAAAAAATTTAAGTGTCGGGCCTTAGGCATCTAGGGGGAGGTCAGAATTAAGCAAATGGGCCCTAAAATCCATGGGGTTGGATTTTTCAGTCCCCTGGCATTACAATATGCCTCACCCATACCTACACACATTTGGTTTAATCCTTTTGCCCCTGAGTTATCACTAAAAATCTCAAAGGAGGGCCGGAGGGGAAAGAGTTCTCCAGTTGTGCCACCCTTACTTGGTGATGAAAGGAAACCCCTTTGGAAGTTGACTCTAAATAGTGGTTTTCAAAGTGTGGTCTCCAGACCAGCAGCATCGAAATCATCTGGGAACTTGTTAGAAATGCACATTTTCAGGTCCCATTCCAGACCTACCGAATCAGAAACTCTGGAGGTGCATCCCAGCAATCTGTGTATAAACAAGCTCTCCAAGGGATTCTGATCTTAGCTAGAGTTTGAGAACCACGACTCCAAGAAGCCCTTTGTCTGATTCTGAAACCCATGTGTATGTGCCACTAGCATTTGTGTGTAAAGAAGGTCCCTTTCTCAGTCGGGCATTGGTTGCCAGTTTTCCAGGCATGGGATCAATGGCATCACGTTTCCTGCTCCTTCACTGAGTGGCTCTTAGAACCACAAAAGCTGGCTGGGTTAGGAATGCAGCTCTGGGACTGAACGACACCCCTGAATCCCTCAAAGCCAATCACACAACACCAGCCCCACTGAAGCATGACCTAGGGGTGCAGCTTCACCACACCTCCCTGGTCCCGTCCCCATCAACCTTCCAGGACAATGGCACCTCACTCGGACAACTTCATTCGCCAAAACACAATTTGGAGATGAGGTGAGATTTTCTCAGAGTAGGAGGGGAAGAAATCTTAAGAAACCCCTCTCCTCTAACCAAGCACGCTTATGTTTTTCTCACAAGGTTTGCTTTTGTGAAGCAGGACAAGAAAACAGGTGCTGCAGTGCATCTTTTAGGAGAGGAGGATTTTGGCACTGGGAAAGAGTGCATTCCAGCAAGTTCCAAAAGTAGAAATTTCTCTAAGTGAATGTCAACGCCTGACTCAGCTACACAGAAGCCAGCAACGCTCCCAGGGAGGTCAAAGCCCCCAAAGCAACATCGCTCTGTAGGCCTGTTTTTTTTCATCTTAAGAGATTCCTTTTAAAATAGTCATCCATACTTAAAGAAACTTTTCATTTTTTTCTTTCTTTCTTTTTTTTTTTTTTTTTTTTGCCTGATAGGGCATGATTTTTCAGTTCTATAAACTGAGTATTAATGAGCAATCACTCTGCCCCATGTATAATACCATCTTCAACATAAGGAAAAGAATAGTTCTTCCCTGAACCCTGAAATTATTCTAGTATAATCTATCATTTACTGGCCCCAAGTAGCTCAGTCTATTCTAACGGGACATTATGCAGGTCCAGTTACTCACTGCATGTTTGAAATCATCTCCAAATTTAACTACTTTTTTTTAGTTGTTCAGATTGCTAGATTCTATTCTTAACTATCCTGGCCTCCTGCTTCCTAATCCAGATTTTGTGCTAACTAAAGCTCACCACAGATGTATTTAGCATTTGTCTAGAATCTCTAGAGAACACGGAATCAGGATGTTAAGCGGTTTTAACGTTTTCATTTTTATCAAAGTAATGCATTTTAATTGATGGGACTATAAGGCAGTCTAATATAGCATCTGTATAGCATTCTTCTCGTGCGTGTCTCCCATCCGCTTTTCCAAGTGTCTTTGTCACAACTGCAGGAGGTAGGTAGAGGCTATAAGCACCAAGGTCCCCAAATTTCCAAAAAGAAAAAAAAAAACAAAATGCAGAGTTGAGACAAAATAATTTACCACAATATACACATTAAGTCATTGGCCAAGCTAGAACTGAATGAATCCAGGACAATCTAGAAATTTTACACTGTCTGCTCCACCCACCAGCTTTTGGTGCTCTCCCTTTAGCCTCTCAAAGCTCAAAACATACCACACACTCCACATGAGACCGAGTCCTCTGAGCGATGCTAGCTGTGTGAAATGCCCCACTTTTCCCACTGCTCTGCCCAGCTGCAGGGGAGGGAGAAGGCGTCTCAGAAGTGCTCCCTGGGTTTCCTTCCCTCCCCAAGGACAAGGCCATCCTTTCACCTGTTGAACCATTTTTGTACCCAGGCACCACTCCCAGCTCTTTTCTAAGCTAGCCTGAAATCAGTCAATACTAACCTCGTGATTTTTTTTTAATCACTCAAATAGGATTATATTACAATGTAATTGAGATTTCACAGATGACATTAAAAAGAATTACTTAAATTAAATGAAAGGAATTTCCCCCTGGGAAATTGGTTCAACAAGAAACACATCCCTCTCAGCTAGAAGTGTTGGGCACTACCACCCGGAACACAGATACCCTGCTCTAACCGTCATCAGTCGATGGTCACTGATCAAGACACCAAAACAAGGAAGAGCTGTGGTCATGTGAGTTCACAGGGAGGATGATCTCAGGCTAATTAGTTCTATGTTTCGGGAGGGTGCAGCTGCTGAGATGATACATGCCCCCAGCCTGAGCCCCATCTCTCTCAAGTGACACAGTGTCAGCTGCTAAGCCCCTATGTCAACTTCAGCACCACGGGGCACAAGGGCCTCTGGCAAATGCATTCCAACTCTTTATAGTCACCAGAGGGCGTGCTTTGTGCAGCCACCAGAAGAGGTTAACCGAGAGCCAGGCTCATGTAAAAATAAAGCAAGTATTTCTAAATACCTGCCTGTATCATCCATTTAGTCAGCAAACATGACTGAGTGGCTACGACATTCCAGGCACAGTGAATGTCAAAATGAGAGGAGTCCCAAAGAGGTGGAACTCACAATGGACATTTTTAAGAAGATCAGAAAATCCCCTGGACTGAAGATTATCTGCTTCCCCCACTGGCCTGAGGCTAGTGCCTGGGTCCCTCTTTTTGGGACAAGTACTGCCTTCTTCATGTCTCCACTTCCAAGATCAAACACCCTGCACAGGGACCCCACCGAGCTCCCGTCCTCAGCTTCAATGCATTCATCAGTTTATCGGATCAATTTTTGCTGTGCCAGGAAAATCTTGAAAGGAACATGATAAGAGCAAAAAATTTAAAAATTAAAAAAATAGAGAAGAATTCAGATAGGGCAAAGTGGCAGGAACCAGGGGGACCAAAACTCTTAAAATAATATTCAAGGATTACAAATAATGTTGACATGCTGAATGTACCTGAGACAGACCTGCCCTTGGACATCACCAGACTCTGTCTCTTAGTCTGCCTTTTTCTGGGTATAGCTTCCTTAGCTCTAGTGGACTTTCCTTCCTTAGCTCTAGTATATACAGATGATTGTATCACACTGGCTTTGAATACATAAGTTAACAGCAAACTAATGATTTTCCACCAGCTAGCCTATAATTACACATGTACACATTCATCCAACTGGGCGAAATTTACAACTGGCCGGTTTCCCTTCAATGCCACAGAATGAGATCAAAGGGAGGTGCGGTAGGGTTCCAGCTGTGGTGCGTGTGCGGCACAGGCTGGACTCAGGCAAAATACGCGTGGCAAAAGACGGCCACCGCCAGCAGGATGATGCCATTGATGTTCACCACTGTCCTCCACAAAGGTTTCTCAGAGGTGTCTGTCAGCTTCATCTTCATGGCTGCCTCCTCCTCCTTGGTCAACTTGGGTCCGGTCTGCTGGTCCAGCCCACAAAACAGGTCGTAGGCCCGCCTGAAGCATCCTTTCTTCTCCTCAGGAAGTTCTGTGTCAGGGGAAAGGACATAAAAGGATTATTGGACACAGTCCAGGCACAGTGGCTCATGCCTTGGCACTCCGGGAGGCCAAGGTAGGCGAATCATTTGAGCTCAGGAGTTCGAGACTAGCCTGAGCAAGAGCAAGACCCATCTCTGCTAAAAAAAAAAAAAAATAGAAATAAATTAGCTGGACAACTAAAAATATATAGAAAAAATTAGCCAGACATGTAGTTATCCTGTAGTCCCAGCTACTCGGGAGGCTGAGGCAGGAGGATTGCCTGAGCCCAGGAGTGTGAGGTTGCTGTGAGCTAGGCTGATGCCACAGCACTCTAGCCCAGGCAACAGAGTGAGACTCTGTCCCTCCCCCCCCCTAAAAAAGTATTATTTGATACAGAAGCCAGAGGGACTAGAAAAAATTTCCAGGGGAGATGCCATACCACAGAGCATCTACCATTCCGCAGAAATGTCCTAACTTCCTTGTTTTCCAGAATGGAAACGGTGCAAAGTGTTCAAATGAACTTAATGACATGACAGTGTTACTGGATGGATTCTACATTCTTATGACCAGCTTTATCTCTGTCAGACCCAATGCAAATGCATTTTGATTCAAAAAAGTCAGGTCAAGTAGTATTTTATGAGACAGAAAAGTTAGCGATGGGCTGGGGACTTGTGACATATGAAGGACATGGGAACCCACCTTTGAAAAGCATCACTCCTGCACTCAAATGTTTATAGCAGCAATTTTCGCAATTGCAAAGATATGGAAACAAGCCAAGTGCCCATCAATATATGAGTGAATAAATAAAATGTTGTACGTGTATACCATGGAGTACTACTCAGCCATTAAAAAATGGTGATCACCTCTTGTATTATCCTGGATGGAGCTGGAGACCATTTTTCTGAGTAAAGTATCACAAGAATGGAAAAACAAACACCACATGTATTCACCATTACATTGGTACTAATCGATCAACACTTATGTGCACATATGAGAAGTAACATTCATAGGGTGTTGATGGCCAGTGGAGTGGGGAGGAGGAGATAGGTAAATTCACACCTAACAGGCACGGTGTGCACTGTCTTGAGGATGGGCACACTTGTAGCCCTGACTTGGGTGGTGCAGGGGCAATTTATGTAACCAAAGCATTGGTACCCCCATAATACTCTGAAATTTTTTAAAAACCAACCAAAAAATTTCAGAAAAAAACCCACATAAACTTATATCTGTTGGCTACATCTCTACAAAGCAATGAGGCTGGTGTGACCCGAGAGCACATTGGCTACATCTGTCAATTCTAAGGCTTCTCAACAGACCCAGTTGCATGTAAAAATTGGTCTGAACAGCTCCTGATACAGGGCAGTGGTGATCAACACCTCCGGGGCTTAAGATCTCATGCTGCATATCAACACTGCTGAATCAAACCATCCAACTGTCCTGACACTCAAAGTGGATGCCCACAAAGGCAACTGACTCCCTCCTCTAGCCCAGGTGTGGCACTAGAGGTAGAGGGGCCCAGTTTGAAATACCAGCTCTGCCACTCAGTAGATATGATATCAATCCCACTAGGGTTTCAGTACATGATCAGAGACCACTGCTCTGCACATTCCCATTTGTACAAGTCACAGAATTTTTCTTTAAAAGAGTCATGGAATTTTAGAGCTGGAGGGAACCTTAGTGATCAAGTGCACACACATATCAGAAGTGGGACCTAAACCCAGCTTTATGGCCTTGTTAATTCACCACTCTTATCTCCAGGTATCTGTAAAATTGGATAAATCAAACCTTCTTCATTGTATTAATAAAGATTTAACTTATTGATTTAATGAGAGAGCACCCAATTCATAGTCTTCTTCCATTGTCTCTTTTTTCTCACACACATAAGAAAGACAAGCTCCCTGGTACCCCTCCCCTTTGACTCATTCCACCAAAATAGTAGAATGGGGAAGAAGGAGAAAGAAGTTGGGCTCACTGACCAGCTCAAGTAAGAAATACTTGGTTATCTGGGGCAGTTGAATGACATTGGGAAAGTCTGATTGGAAGGGTGTTCAGTCTGATTTGACTGTGAGTTTATCAAGAAACAAAAGAATTCAAGTGCTACCACGAGAACCACAGAGGTCACCAAGCCAGTTCTGTAGCCAGTGTGGAAGTCCCCTCTGCAGCGTCCCCGATAGATGCACACTTGCTCCTCATCCCTTTTCAGACAAGCTCAATGAGAAAACTCTTCCTTCAAAGGCACCATGATGGGGATAATTACAGCCAATTCCTATAGTGGAGTATTATCTCATTCAATGTTTCCAACTCTACTATGAGGTGTGGAATACTTCTACCTGAGGAACCTGAATTTTAGAAAAATGAAATCACATTCCCAAAGTAGTAAAAAGAAAAGTCAAGATTCAATCCCAGTTCTCCCTGATTCCAAATCTCAAAACCTATCGCAGCATTATACTGCCTTCTTTTTCTGAATTAAAATTGGATGGATCTTTCCACCCACCGGTCTTAAGTATGCCCTCTAGTGAAAAAATAATCTCTTCTTCCACATTAAAACCTCTAGACATTCAAAATACTCCTCATCCATGTCCCTTTAAAATCTACATTATGCTCACTCAATGTGGGTACATATTTGAAGGTAGAAGTAGCAGGCATATTCACGCCTGCCTGCTCTGGGGAAGCCGAAAGGGGCTGCCCATTTTCAGCACCATGGTCAGCTGCCTGTGGTCCATGCTCCCTCCAGCACTTGCAGAGTCGCAGGTTTTGGAACAGAAAGGTCCTTGCAGATCGAGACTGCAAGGACTGTATCAGACTGTATCAGAGCTGGGACCACAGGCAAAGCCTCTCCCCCTGAGCCTCAACTCACATGTCTGTAAATTGAGGTGATAAGACCAAGAGATCTTGAGGGCTCTTTCCAGAGCTGGGATTCTATGATGCTCCTGATGCCAGATTCGGAACTTGTTCTGCTGCACTGTGCTCTCCTTCAAATCAGAGTGACGAGACCTCCAACCCAACATCAGGTAAAGTGCATGTGACCTTGAGCTCCCACAGTGCTGCACACCACACACCTCCACAACCAAACCCCATGTGTGCACCTCTCCCATGTAGGGAGGAAAAGTTGCAACGCTGAAGTTGAAGAAAGCATTACCTTTAAGGATAAATCTCTGGGAACTGACTAATCACTATCTTATCAGGATTCCAGAGAAATATGATTTTTGAAATCTGATATAGCAAGCCAGTAAGATACAAGATCCCAAGGGCCTCTATCCTATCCCTGTGATGTCGCTAGAACTGACCATAGCTTTGGTGCCATCTGCCCTCAGCTCACAGGCTATGTCAGAAGAGCTCTGACTCTTCTCTCAGTGCTGGCCATGCCCTAAATCAAGGCAAGGTGGAAAATTCCTCACCCACACCCAGGGATGAAGGAGCTGAAATGATTCTGCGCCTCCCTCCTCCCCCCGGCCAGGCCTCAAAGTGAACTTCCTAGAACCCAGTTATTCATCCCTCCCACCCCTCCACTCCTCACTCCCCCATAGGAGACAGATCTGAGTTTTGATGAAGGCATTTAGTGAAGGCTTCAGCAAAGTTGTCATGCTGCTGTTGGATTAACTGCTGTAGGATTAACTTGTTATGCTTTGGGTATTAGTTTCAAGTCATCAATCACCTATTTCAATGTCCTCCTTTGAGGCTTCTTGGTCCTTTGAGGCTTCTTGGAAGTCCTCGTCTCCTGCATCCAGGTCAATTCGCTCCTCTTTGCTGTTGCGCAGGCTCCAGCACAGACGGTAGAGCTGCAGAGAAGGAAGAACAGGTTAAACAGAAAGAGCCAAATGGCATCTTGGGACAAGAAGTTGAGGGAATGAAGAGATATGCGTCAAGAAAGGAAAATGAATGTGGCCTCTTGGTACCAACAACAATGTAGATAACTGTTCCCAGACACAGCATTATCTCCAAATGTGTTGAGAACTTAGATGTAATTTGTACAGATGTACACACTGGCCCTTAGGATATATGTATATTCAGAGGCTGAGAGACTGCCTCCAACACAGAAATGTTTGTTGAATGAATAAACTCTTTTCGACATGTGATAAATGAATTTGTTTCTTTTAGCACCGGTACTAGGAAACAGGACTAGACAGCCATTTGTCTAGACCAGCAGTGGAAGTTCAGAATTTTATATTATATCATATGATGGGGATAAGAATCTGTAGAAAGATGGGATGATGGACACGAGAGACTCACAAGGAGGGGGAGTTGACAAGCAAGGGATGAAAAATTACCTATGGTGACAATGTACACTACTCAGGTGATGGGTACACCAGAAACCCGTACTCCACCACTATACAATATACATTAATACATGGAACAGAATTCAACTTGTACCCCCTAAATCTATGAAAAATTTTAAAAGTAGAGTGTAAAAACATACCTAATTCTCTTTTAAAAATCTATAGTACCATGAGCCATGGGGTAGAACTGGAGGCACAGTTTCTATTGACATAGTCTACAGCATGAACCAGAAACTGACAAAGTCTGAAAATCTGTGTAACGTGTCCAGCCTAACCACGCCCTTAGGTGTCTACCTTGCTTTCCCTACTTCAAGAGGAAGCACAGAGCCATGTGTGTTTGGGGCTGTGATGCTTTCAAAGACTAAAACATGGAGAGGCCATTAATACATCACAGAGAAGGCTTCTGGCAGATCCAGCCAATAGAAGTGACGGTGGTTCTACTGTTATAAAAACAGTCTTTGTTAGACATTAAGTTTTGTCACAGCTATTGAAAATTTGGCAATAATATTGAAGGTCTCTTAGGGATTTCATAGGCCCTCATATTTGGGCATGCATGAATAAAGTGTTTATCTTAACTTATGGATAAATCTGACATTAGGTTAACTTTCTAGCTCTATTCCCTTGCAAATCTGAAAAAAGTGGAATGTCATCCATGTTGGGTCACCTGACTATATTGCTCATGGTAGAAATGGCCCATAATTGGTCATCTTAATCTGGATTGAGAGAGCTAGTAATGAACCCTAAACCAATGGTGCTATCTAGAGCTAAAGAAGAGTAATTATAATTTTTTTTAAGTCCTGAATCAATTGGACTTTGATATTGTTAGAAAAGTCTTGAGTTCTACAGGCAACTGTTTGGTGGCTTAACAGGAAAAAAAAAATCAAGAGGTAAATCATACTTCGTGTTTCCCTGAGTGTAGAGACTTTTATAACAAGGCACATCCCTTGCTGGGATACCTAAAAGCATTGACCATGGGACTGTTACAAGAAATATTAATATCAGTTTCTGTTTAGGAACATGGGCTTCTAAGTCAATGTATCTCTGTGCCCGCTCATGTGACCTCATTCCCTTGCACCTGAGCTGTCACTTGGAAGCAAGACCCAGAGACCAGCCCCTAGACTGAGGTGTGGACTGCTCTGAGGACCCCCCCCCGAAGACACGTGCTTGATACTGCCCTGGTGGCACACCATGCCCCATATCCTTCTACATGAAACCAGTGGCAAATGCAGACTATTTTAATTACATGGGTGTGACATGTTTAATTGAGCTGAGGCCAACCAAGAGTGTTGTGGCATGAACGTGAAACAAGGGCACAGCAGGTGTCCTGCATGGGTACTCACATGCACATCTGGAATGGGCTTGGTCAGGAGGGAGACAACCACAATGGTGATGACAGAGATGGCAAAGAGGAGAATGGCAAAGTACAAGTAGTGCACCCCACAGATAATCGTGGGACAGTTACTGGGCTCCATGCAGCTCCCGGTTCCATAGGCAAACTCAGCAATCATACGGGAAATCCCGATCAGAAATCCTAAAATCAGTCCCCAAAAGGCCCCCTGTGGAAAGAAAAGCCTGAGTTAGCTAATGCTGAACATGCAAAACAGCTGGGAATTCTACCCTTCTTGGCGAGGACAGAAGCAAAGAAAATAGAGGTGACAGAAATGGTAGCTCCAGGCCATCTGAACCCAGAATACTGGACTTCAGAATATGACCAAGGGTGTTAGTTACATGAGGCCTTCGGGGTGTCTATCTGCCACGTTTCAGTAATGTGATTTCACCAGGAACACAAATCAAGGACTCATAATATCATAGGGTAAAATGTCTAATAACTGGTATAGGAAGTCAACCCAAAGTTTTAATTCCAAAAATTAGCTTTAACTTGAAAAATAATTTGGCCTCTCCACCTGCAGCTACTGTTACTACCAACCTCTAAGATCAGGAAGAAGACAAGGATGCCCACTTTTACTGCTTTTATTCAACATAGTACTGGAAGTCTGAGCCAGAGAAATTAGGCAAGAGAAAGAAATAAACGACATCCAAATTGGAAAAGAATTCACATTGTCCTTGTTTGCAGATGACATATTATATTCAGAAAAACCTAAAGACTCCACACCAAAGGGGCCATTCTTCACCAAACCTCGACCTCCCTTTCCAGCTGTGTCTTCCATTATTCACATTAACTACCTCTCGAGCAGAGAAGCCTTCCCTGACAGTTGCAGCCCATGTCCATATATCCTTTCTTGAATCCCTTCCTTTTTATATGTCATAATTTGTCCCTCAGTTGTTAATGTACCTTACATTGTTTTATGTATAAAATTCTAGAGCACTAGGACTTTGTCTTCACTGGGCCCTGAAAACTGCTGGCTGGAAGGCCAAGTTCCAGGCAGAGCACTGGAGGTATCTTGTGCTAGGACTTCCTCTGAAGCTGCTCACCCAGAGAACACACTTCCCAGGGAGAAGGCAGAAAGAAGGCAGTCAGGCCAGGAGTGGTGGCTCACGCCTGTAATCCTAGCACTCTGGGAGGCCAAGGCGGGAGAATGCCTTGAGGTCAGGGATTCAAGACCAGCCTGAGCAAGAGCAAGACCCCATCTCTACTAAAAATAGAAAAAATTAGCTGGGCATGGTGGCACATGCCTGTAGTCCCAGCTACTTGGGAGGCTGAGGCAGGAGAATCACTTCAGCCTAGGAGTGTGAGGTTGCTGTGAGCTAGGCTGATGCCATGGCACTCTAGCCCAGGTGACAGAGTGGGACTCTGTCTCAAAAAAAAAAGAAAAAGAAAAAGAAAAAGGAAGGAAGGAAGGAAGGAAGGAAGGAAGGAAGGAAGGAAGGAAGGAAGTCAGGTCAAAATCACCAAGATTGGACGGAAGATGTACAACATTAGTTGACAACCTACAGCAAGGAGGAAGAGGAGTCAGAGAGAATGTGGACCCTATACCAGTTCCCAATGGCGCGCCCCATGGTCCCTGTGGGCTTCCCCCACGAACCCCTCAGCAGCACATCCATTCCTGTTCAAGGTCTCTGGGAAATAGGATCTTTCCCACCCAGAAAATACAAACCCACATGGGGATTTCTGTGCCATGGTGGCTTTTCTGGACATGCCGGTATGATACCTACTGGCTCATTGACTCTCTTCCAGAAAATGGCAAGCAGGAAGACAGCCGCGATGGGTGGTCCCAAGTAACTGGTGATAGACTGGATATAATCGAAGAGCTGCCCACTTTGTGCCGACTGCACAATGGGCACCCAGGCGATGCTGATGCCAATCAGCACCAGGATGAACAGCCTGAAATCAAAGCCCCCACAACAGAGGGTCAATAAACAACTCTACATGAATAAATACCTACCACCATGTATCTCATATATTATGCAAATATGACCACAGCAAGGAAAAAGAAAGGAAGGAAGGAAGGAAGGAAGGAAGGAAGGAAGGAAGGAAGGAAGGAAGGAAGGAAGGAAAGAAGGGAGGGAAAGAAGAAAGAAAAGGAAAGAAAGAAAGACAGAAAGGGAAAGAAGAAAGAAAAGGAAAGAAAAGAAAGAAAGAAAGAAAGAAAGAAAGAAAGAAAGAAAGAAAGAAAGAAAGAAAGAAAGAAAGAAAGAAATCTGTTTTTGAGGCTTTTATTTTGAGGCATTTATTCTTGAGGCTTTTTCCTTCCCTATTCTGCCCACAGGAAAGCCATCTGTGCCTATGAGTAACTCACTTGACTTTCAACAGCTACCTAGGCCCAGGCACCCAGGCATAAAAGAATCCCACTTATTGCCAAAAGAGGCAATAAATTATGGGAACAAGGTATGAATTTTGGAGCCAGACAGTCCTGGATTCAAATCCTTATTGTCTCTGTGTGACACAGGACACACGTCTTGACCTCTCCGAGTCTCAAGTTCTCCATCTGCAAACTGGGAATGTGACCAACCTCGCACAGTTGGAAAAGGGATTAATGGTCGTGAATCTGAGTCACCTTGCAAATAGTAGGCACTATAGAAATAGTAAAAACGATTATTAATTTCTTCTTTCCCTCCTTCTTCTTCATAATGAAGTTAAAAACACTGGCCAAGAAGAGCTTACAAAGGAACAGTCTAGGTAGGAAGGTACACGACCAGGTTTTGCCAGCTCTTTGCCACGTGAGTTTCATTTTGAGTCCTGAAAAGACTGGGGACTCCTTTACTAGCACTTAGTACTTGTGCTCATGATTTAATTAGAAGAAGACTGTGAGTCCCTTACCTCACTTACCTGATTTTATGGCAAAAGAGTCCTCATCTGACCTTCCCAAAGCAGTGTTTTCACTCACATATTTCTCCGCCCGGAATGCCCTTCCCACTGCCCCCCACTTGCCCAAATCCTGCCCACCACTTTGGACTCAGTTCAGGTTCCCTCCCCCAGAAGCCTTCCCCAGCCCCACACAGCACAGCCCTGACTGCTCCTGCAGTCCCCATGGCAGAGTCTGGAATGGTTTCACATGGCTGTGAGCTTATCCATGGCGGGGACAAGCCCTAGGGTCACAGTCATGGGGTGCACAAAAATCCAAACCCCAACATCATCTCAGGGCCATAGGATCCAGATACAAGCAAAGCAACAAAATGGTTTTCTTTCCCAGTTTGCATTCGAGCCATATAAATAACAGGAAAAGTAAGTGCATTTCTAAGAAAAGACCAGCCAAAGCAATAGTGTGGCTGCCTGTGGCACAGAGTAGACTCTGGCCTGGTCAGGTCTCCCCTGGGTACCAAGGGTCTTGTCCCCTGAACATGGTCTGTCGTTTTTCCTTTCCTTCCTTCTCTCTAATCTCGCTGATGAGAGCAATGAGGTAGCAGCCCACACTCTTCCTGAACTCACTGGAACTTTACCCCTGGCTGACATCCCAGGGACTTGTTCCCTCTGCCCTGAGGAGGCTGACCTGCCACAGCCCCACGGACAGACACAGCAGAGCTCCTGTCAATGCTCTATCTGGAGTATCTGCTCGCTCCACGGGCGATCATGATAGCACAGTCGGCCCAGTTTTATGTATACTGCTGTGTCTGTTAGCCCATTTCACAACTGTAAATGTGCACATAGCTTGATATTTTAGACTTTACAGAGCAGATTCACAAGCACAGTCTCCTTTGATCTTCACAATGATCCTGCAAAATGTTGCATCATCTGGTTGAGACATCAAAGGCATTTGGGTCTCAAAGACAGACCAGAGTGGAGAGCTGCAGTGTGGAGGGCTGGGAAGGACAGCAAGGGGCAGAATAAAGAGCCCTGGACAAGGACTCAGCTCACTGCAGATTCCAGTCCTGGTTCTGCACTGTCCAACTGCACTTGGGTTTAAGCAGGATGAGCCTCAATTTGCTCATCAATAGCCTGAGGGTTTGATTAGGTGATCTCTTCTGTCCCTTGCAACTTCAGGGGGGCATTGTTCAGTGATCTCCCATTTAAAGTTAAATGCCACTGAAGGGCAAATATAACCAGCCACAGACGTTGCTCCCAGTCCACCCGGGCACTTCCCAGTCTTCCCCAGCTCGAGCGGTAGCACAGGTGGAACCGCTCCGATCATGCACGTGCTCGTGGCACACGGCAGAGGGAAGTCGCATTTACCTTCCTGCGAGCATGAGCTCTTTCTCCGATGCTCCCTTCCGCACCTTGGTGTAGATGTCCATGGTGAAGAGGGTGCTGGCGCTGTTGAAGATGGAGGTCAGGGAGCTCATGAGGGAGGCCAGCATGACCGACAGCATCAGGCCCCGCAGCCCTGGAAGAGAAGGAGGTTCTGAGTGGCACATCCAGCACCCTCAGCTCTGTCGTGCTCGGAAAATACGAGGACTCAAGGTTTGTTTGCCTTCTGAGACCATGCCATGTTCTCCAGTTTATCTCCCCAGAAAGACCGGAAGTTTAAAGAAGTGGACTATGGCTTTCAATTATATTATAAACCCACAGCAGCCAACAAGGATCTAAAGACACAATTATTTATGAGATGAATATTTTGCAAGTAGATAATGATAATGATGATGGATAATGAGGAGGAGGAGGGTGTGTATATGTTTCCATCAGAGGAGACTTTCTAAGTCTTCCTGGCTAATAACTTTGAGTCTCCTGAGATCCCCTAATCTAACAAGATTTGCACGCCTTGAGTCAGAATTAGGAGATTTTTTTTCAACGCGAAACAAGAACAACATGGTCAATACCAAATCTCTCGCTATTGAAATGGATTCGAACTCCTGGGCTCAAGCAATCCTCCTGCCTCCGCCTTCCGAGCAGCTGGGATTACAAGCACATCACCATGCCTGGCTGGATACCATATTCTTTATAGTGAGAGCTCCCCTTGAATCCCATCTATCTACTGCCTCAAACTCCCTCATTCTAGAGCTAAAATCTTGCCTTTTTCTCCATGTATTTTCTTGGAACAGCCTAGAAGTCCATTCATTCTCCAAGTAAAACTCCCTTGGACCTAGGTTGCTTAGTTCAAGACTTCATGTTAGCATCTGTTGGAGAGCTTTTTTAAAATATATTTTCAAATGACAAACAAAAATTGTATATGTCTGTCACTTACAACATGATGTTTTGAAATATGTCTCCATTGTGGAATAGCTAAACTTAGCTAATTAACAAATGCATTGCTTCACATGCTTATCATTTTTTATGGTGAGAACACTTAAAATCTACTCCTCTAGCAATTTTCAAGTCTACAGTACATTGTTATTAACTATAGTCACCATATTATACAATGGATCTCTTGAATTTATTCCTCCTATCTAACTGAAGTTTTGTATCCCTTGCCCAAGATCTCCCTAAACCATCCAGCACCCCAGCCCCTAGTAATCACCATCCTAGTCTCTGCTTCTATGAGTTCTATGACATTTTTAGATCCTACATGTAAGCAAGAACATGCAGCATTTGTCTGAGTCTAAATCATTTCACTTCACATAATGTTCTCTCAACACATTCATGTTGTCACAAATGGCAGGATGTCCCTCTTTGGGAGGTAGAATCGAATTCCATGGTGTATATACTGTATGCTGCATTTTCTTCATCCATCCATTCATAGGCACTAGGCTGACTCCGTATCTTGGCTGTTGTGAATAGTGCTGCGATGAACATGGAAGTGCAGATAATTTATCTCTTCGACGTATCGATTTCCTTCCCTTTGGATAGACACCCAGTAGTGGATTGCTGGATCATATGATAGCTCTATTTTCAATTTGTTGAGGAACCTCCACATTGTTTTCCATAATGGCTGTACTAATCTACATTCCCTCTGCTGAAAAGCTTTGAAAGACCTTCTAGATGAAGTCATGTTTTTCCCTAACAAGATCATCTCCTTTCCAAGCCTGACTGAGAGGCAAATGGCGGAACCCATAGAGCCTAACTAAGCCATATGTCTCCTTGCCACTGAGGGAAGGTGTGTTCAAAAACTGAGGACACCTGCAATGAAGTTTTCCCTGCTGACCCCCCCACAGCCCTCAGGCTCAGGAATGGCTTTGCCCCAGAAGCCCACAGAAATCTAGGTGGTGCCTAAACCCAACTGGCCTCCCAAGAAAGACCCCCCCAGCCTCCCAAGAAAGACCCCCCAGCCTCCCAAGAAAGACCCCCCCAGCCTCCCAAGAAAGACCCCCCAGCCTCCCAGAAGACCGCCCATCCTCCCAAGAACAAGGACTACCCAGTCTCCCAAGAAAGACCACGCTCCAAAGAAAGACCCCAGCTCCAAGAAAGCTCCCGAGTCTCCAAGAAAGACCAGTCTCCCAAGAAAGACCGCCGCCCTCGCAAGAAAGACTCCCCAGTCTCCCAAGAAGGACCCCCGCCCCCAACGAAGACCCCCAAGCTACCAAGAAAGACCCTAGTCTCCCAGACGACCCCCAGTCTCCCAGAAAGACACCAGCCGTCCCAAGAAAGACCCCTCCAGCCTCCAGAAAGACCAGCGTCAGACAGGACGCTCACTGTCCCAAGTCGAAGACCCCCCCCAGCCTCCCACAGAAAACCGGCCCCAGCTCAGAAGACATCCCTACGGCGCTCCCAAGAAGACTCCGCCCACCCTCCCAAGAAAGACCCCCCAGTCTGCCCAAGAAAGACCCCCCACCCCCGCATCCCAAGAAAGACCTCCCCAGCCTCCCAAGAAAGACTCCCACCATCAGGCATGAGCTCCACCACCAAAGTTGGGTAGGCAATGTTGGTGCAGCCAACTCTGGTGCCGCAGTATTTCTCGCATTCCGAGGGAAGGACGCAGGCAATTTTTTCTGGGGAGAGATGAAGAACCACGTCAACAACCATGGCAACAACATTAGGAAAATATTTCCAAAATTCACCTTCTGAAAACAAGCCTTCAAATAGAACATTGCTGCCCAATGTCCTGAAATGGCTCCCCAAAGAGTGCAGCTCTCCACTGAGACCTCCCACCCCTGCCCCTGCCCTGCTGGGCCTGTTATCCCCCCAAGCTCTGAGAAGCGGGAAAGACAGTTCCTGGGCAGGGGAGGAAAGAAAACAAAGAAATTCTCAGGGTGAAAAGGGAGGGGGCATGAGATTCAGCAACAGTCAAGCAAAAATTAGTAGGAAGAAGTGACCTGGAGGCATGTCATCACTTTAGAAGATTTAGGGGGAAAAGGGCAAAACAATTTCCAGTTTAAGATAACTCCAAGAGTTCTGTGCCTTCAATTTGCTCGCTGTCTCATAAGGGAGCAGTAAGGCTTGGTGAGCAAAGCAAGAATCCAGAACTTTAGAAGTAACCGAAGCCAGAGAAAGGGAGAGTGGCCTGCGAGGCCAGCAGAAGCCACTACCTGTGTACAGGATGCGGCTGATCATTCCCGGCATCACCATGAGGAACATGGGCAGCAGCTTCAGGTACCCACACAGGGTGCAGCCGGCCTTCACGTGGGACATGTTCTTGGCCGAGAGGCAGCGCTGCACAATGACCTGTTGGGAAAAGCCCAGTGAGGAAGGGGTGCGGGCCAGAGAACCCGTGACACCTCCTGCTACCCCAGCTTCTCCATCCTGGGTCCCTGGCCTGGCACTGCCGTGTCGCTAGGGCGCAGCAACCCACAGAGCACACGTGAGCCTTCCCCTCTTTTTCCTAACCCCACAAGCCACAGAGAGACAGGAGTTCCCGTCACGCCCTGGGGAAGACCCTGGCCACCGTGCATATCCAGCGTGGGTACCTGATCCGTGCACCAGTACCACAGGGCCAGGATGGCCAGCCCAAAGATGAGCCCAGGCCACGGGATGTCTCCCGTGATGGGGTCTCGGAAGATGTGGAAGGAGTCGGCCCTCGGGGTGTAGCATTCTGGCTTGGCGGTGACATTGCCGTCAGAAACCACGCTTGGAATGGCTTTCATGTACTTGTCCATGAAGGCCTCATACCCGCCCACTTCGTGAAAAGCTGGAAAACATTGGTACAAAAACAAACATTCTGAAACTCTCAACACTTTATATTAATAGAATTTTCTTTCTGTGGATGCCTGAGAAACAGAGAGGGCCCAACCAACAGACGGAGCCCTCCCCACTTTCCCATTCTGGGCCTCAGCTGTCTCATCCATAGAATGGGATCATCAACCTCGCAGGCGCTAATATGAGGGCCCAAAGCAATAGCTTGTAAAAGTGCTCTAACCATAAACTTCTTCACAAAAGGGAAAGTATTTTAATTATTAAAAGGAAGACCTCGGTTTTGCGCCATATGCAAAGACTGTTTTTCCCCTCACCCCTTGCAGTCAACCATGGCCTTTGGAACCCCAGACCCAGACCTAGCCTTTGAGACCCTGGACACAGACCTACCACCCTGGTCCCAGGAGTGTGGTCAGACAGACACAAAATGGGTGAGAAATCTGGAACTCTGCCACCTCCCAACTGTGTGTCCTTGAGTAAGTCACTCTAGTCCCTGCCTTGCTGACCCCCAGGGCCTGCTGGGACAAATCAGACAAAAGTTCTTGGGAAACAGAAGAGCAGAGAGCAGGAAAGAGTCTTTACAGGACATGCAGAGGGCCTTGCGCACCCAAAAACCAAAAATGCACTTTACATCCTCCCATAACAAGTACCCCCAGATCTAGGGTTCCTATCAAGGACTTCACAGACAAGCAAAATTCCAAAAATTGGGAGGGCTCCTCCAATTTCAAAAATTGGAGGTAGAGGCACAGGCCCTCTACCTCTGCTCCCACCACCTCAGCCTGCCCTGGCCCCACTTACCAAATCCAGTCAGAATAAAAGATCCCACCAGCATGATCGCCGTCTGCAAGGTGTCCGTGTAAATCACAGCTGCCAGGCCCCCTAGGTAGACAAGAGGACAACACATCTGACTTCACGTAGAAAGCCACCGGTCTGCCTGCTTCCTTTCCCACCGTCTGCCCTCTCCCTCTTGCACACCTCCTGAGAACCCCCTCAGTCACCCACTTGCCTTTTCCTCCTTCCCTTGCTCACCCTGTTCAAGTATTCTGCTACTCAGTGTACATCTCTACTTTTTAGAGAAGTGCTTGCAAGACCCTGAGGAAAGGAGAATGTTCCTCCCTACTTGAAGGAGAAGAGCCTGATGTGACCCTTTTATGCAGGAGACAGCTCCAAGGGGATGGCTCCCGTGTGATAAAGAGGAAGCATCTTCTACAAATGGGAGGAGGGAAGAGCAAAGAGCTGACCGTAGAGGTGTCAGGTGACATTACCAAATCGGCACATCCCAAAGGGCTACTTCTATGTCCACTCTCTTTTCTCAGACCATCTAAGTGATTTCTTGTCCCCAAAGCTATGCGGCTCCAGTTAAGCAGCTGATCCCATCCCCCCACCCCCAGCTAGGCAGAGTAACACCTCTGCAAAGAGTCCGCAATTGTTATTCACACACCAGCTTCTTTGGTCACCTTTTGAGTCTTCCTCTAAAACCTCTTCATATGTGTCACTTCCTCTCTCCCTCCCTACGGTGGTTCCCAGTCCCTGACACACCAAAGCCAAGGCCTCTGTCCGGCCCATGTACTTGACCTCATTTGAACCATCAAGCCCTAGGGCCCAACCCCAGCCAAGCACACTGCCTCCGCCCCATGCAGTGTCCATCCTGCCTCCATTCCCCAGCTCTCACTTAATTCCCACACTCGGCTCTCCCCTGATCCTCCCAACTTAGTTACGTCATCTCCACAACCTGCAGGGCCAAGCTCCGCTGAGCTCCCGTAAGAAGTTGCCCTGGCTGGTCAAGCCACTGCTGGAGCTTTCTGAGACCACTCGCATAGCTTGCAGGGCCTGTGAGTGGGGACCAAGCAAAAATGCCACTCCCTGGGTGAAGCTCTCCTCCTCCAGAGCCTCCTACTTCCTTTTCTCCTCTAAACACCTAACCCTGAGCTGAGCTTGAGCTGCTGGCTCATATGAAGGAACTCACCTGTGATTGTATAAAGGCCAGTGATCACTAGTAAGAGAAAGATGGCCAGGTACAGATTCAGGCCCAAGGCCATATTGATGAATATGGCCCCGGAGAAGATGTCTGCCTAGAAGGAGAAGAGAGGCAGAGTTAGGAGTGAGAGTGGCCGGCTGGCCACAGGGTCCATGGTCTCTCTATTCTTGAGTTTCCAAGCAAGCTTTATTCAAGATGGTAATAGGTATTCCATAGTCCAAAAGGTCTGTGAAATGCTAGACTGAGCAAAGTTAAGGCAGTTTCTTTGCAATGCAACTTCTCTGAGCCTTTAATACACACCATGTACTGCGAATGGACTACAGAACTCTTTTTGCCAAGGAACAACTATTAACACCTTGAGGTTGCTCCCAACCCAGCCATAGACTGGTGATATAAAAATCCATCACTTACACCTATCGTACACAGGTTTACCACATCTACTCCCAAAATCAAGTCTGAGGGCTGGAGACCCCATGAGTGGCAAACCATACCTCCACCCTGGAGTGGAGAGAAACTTCAGCAAAATCATAATTTTATCTCCCAGCCTGGATGGAGTCCATCTTGACTCACACACAACCAGAACATCACCAAGCACCTCTTACGTGGCAGGCTTGGTACCAGATTATCTCATGTAATTATCAGAATTGTTCTCTCTTCACTCTTGAAAATTCACCAGTTATGTTCTTGACACAGTTTTTCCACCACCCCTCTTTCTCCTCCTTCCTGTCCCATTGAACCACCCAGTAATGAACTTTCTACCTGGATGGATGGATGGTGCAATTGCTAACAAAAACCAGCAGAGGGCACTGGTTTAAAACTTTAAAATAAACTTTCATGTCATCTCCAATTTATAAATAATACTACTACCAGAAAGGGTAGTTTTAAGGAATGAACATTGTGAATCTTTTGTTTTCAAATCTCCAGGTGCTGAAGAAGCTAGACTTCCCCTAGATAGAATGCACAAGCTGTTTTATTGCACAAAGCCTAATATAGTTCTGAGCATGCAAAGAGCCGTGGGGAATGGGCCAACCCTGTTGGCCTGGGATTTCTTGCATCTCCTCTGTAATCTCATCTCCCCTTCCCCACCCCATTGTAGCTCCCCAGGGCCCTCCAGTGGCTAAGGTCCCCCATCACACCTGCCTGCCCCTCCCAACAGAACCTCCTATTCCCTCCCTTCATTAGCAGAGAGCTCTTCTAATATCAACTCCATGCTTATGTACCAATACATGAGCCCTGGTGAGTGAGTTGGCCCCCTGCCCCAGGGTGGGCCTTCTGAGGACCCAGGGCCTTAGCTCTGGTCCTCCCAGACCTCCCCTGCAGATTCCCCATCCCAGGGGACCTAAGGGCCAATAGGTGAGAGGAGAGAAGGTGGCTTAGAAAGAGACATCCCCGCTCCCCCCAGGGCTGTGGTCAGAGCACCTGAGTTTGAGTCCCACTATTGCCACTCAAGGCCTGAGTGCCTTGGACAAAACATTTCACCTCTCCACTTCTCAGTGTCCTTATCTTTAAACAGGAAGTCCTGACTCCAGGGACTTGTGATTCTCAATGCTTGGAAGCAAGAAAGTCCTACAGCGAAGAAAGCCTCCCCATCCCAGGCCCTACACTGTGCCCTCTGCAATGGCCCAAGAAGAGAAAAGAGCCTCTGCTAACATTCAGCCTGCTGACCGTAAAACAGCCACTGCACACTGGGCCACTTGCAAGTGTGATGAATATTCATAATGCCAGTCACCCTCTTCCCATGCCTCTAGATAATCACATAAAGTTACCTAAATTAAAGGGGCCCCATTTGTTGATTATAGTGGAATTCTGCCACATGCACACACTTTTGATTTGGTGGATAAGCTAATAGGCACAAATGAGCTATAAAAGGATTCCAAGGCTGCTACTGCCTTTAAAATGCCCTGCGTTGGTTTATTTTCCAGAGTAGTTAATTTTTAATGCTTTATGACAACATGCCATGGTAGACTGCGATATCCTCATTAATATTTCTCTCACTGTCATTAGTCACAAGTAACACGCAACTCCTGCAATAATGCTATAAATGAAGTCTATAAAGACTTCTGAGAAGTGTTGAGCTCTTAGAAATCTTTTTATGATATTCTTTTTCCCTCTAACAGCACAGATAAGGAATTCTAAGAATAGCTCCCTAGTGAATTGAAGAAACCTAGGACACATTCTTCTTCCCATGAATCATTCCTGACTTCAGAGATGAATTCTGTCCTTGGAACCCCAAAAGCCAGCAGGAGTGCCTGGGGATACCTTAGCTAAGCTCAGGCAGGTGACTCCAGCTCAGCAAACCCACGTTAGCCCAGGTGCTCTGACATAATCTCTGGTTCTCTTATGCTGCCCAAACTGTTTCCTGCCTTACTAGGGGGTTTTGCCTTCATATCCACAAACTTTTACCATTTATCAAGGGCTTTCATATGATGCACCATTTTGATCTCCAAAACAACATTGAAAAAGAAAGGACAGAATCTCCTTTCTGGAACATTTTCTGCATAGAACAAGGTCACTTTTAACCAAAAATAATATTTTTAATTTACTTTTTAAAGAAAAACTATTAAAAATAATTATAAAAATGGAAACTGAACAAATGTTTGCAGTTTGATGCCAAGTGTGGGAAGAAAGACAATAAAATGGTGTGCATATTCTGATTGCAATTCTATAAAAGAATACACACAATAAGGACAAAACCAAGATATGAAAATATTTGTATTAGGGTTATAGGATTATGGGGGCTTCCCACACACACCAAGTTTTTGGGTTTTTTTAATGTCATTGTTACATTTTGCTTGCAGTTTCAAAGGTGGAGGGAACAGAAATCTTAAAACACAATATATTCTTTATGGATATAAGGGTATACATATATATGTAGTAAAAATATAAAAGCACAAACTAGAAGAATACACGCCAAGCTCAAGACAGCATTTACCTTTTAGGAAGAGGGAAACTAGAATCAGGAGGGAGTACAGCTGAGCCTTCACTTATATCTGTTATGCTTCATTTCTTTCAAAAAATAATAAATTGATCTATAAAATTTGAGTGGTAGATGTAAAGGTGTTTGCTATATTTTGTGCTTAAAGGATTTCATTAAGTTTTTCATTTATAAAAATAGGGGAATAGCAAGGAAAGTGTCCTCTCTACTATAAATCCTATAAGGCCATCTCTGGTCCTTGGGAAAGGAAGAGAGAGGGAGAAAAAGAGAGAGAGACAGAGAAGAGAGAGAGGGAGGAAGGGAGAGAGAATAAGAAGGAGTAAAGGAGGAGGAGGGGGAAAAGGAAGGAAGGACAGAAGGAGGAAGGGAAGGAAACTTCCCCAGTACTACTAAGTAAAACAAACTTGAAGAGAAATAGAAAATGATGGTCCTCTAGACCAATGATTGGCAAATGTTTTCTGTAAAGGGGCAGGTTGTAAATATGCTTTGCATTTATCATGTTGGTCAAACTCTGCAATTAAAGCATGAAAGCAACTACAGACAACATAAACAAATGGGTTTGGCTGTGTTCTAATAAAACTTTATTTATAAAAACAGAACATGGGTTAGATTTAGCCCAGGGGCTTTTTTCTCACCACTTTGAAAGTCTGGCTAAATAATGTCCATGGGACTCATGGAGGAAAAATAAAAATACAGACCCCAGTTGGAAGACCTCTGGGAGTAACTGAGTCTCTGATAGTGATGTTTTGAGATCCTGTGATTTTGTGTTTGCCACCCATGCTGGTCCTACCCAAGATGTATCTGAACACTCAGTGAATCCTGCCTAGCAATGAGGTTTCAGATGGAGAAGTCCCATTACTCAAATTTCTCGATCCATTTGCGAAAGTAATGCCCTTCGAACCTTAAGAAAAGCCAGAGCTCTTATGTTCACCCAAGGATCCAATATGGACAGTGGAGTTGCTGTAAAAGTTTATTGCCAATGTGATCTGTGATAATAGCCCCAGGAAATATGAATGGGGACACGGACATTCAGCCATCGCGTGTCATTCAGAAAATCTGAGGCTTTATCTCAAGTGATTGCGCACATTTGAATAAGACACACGACACCAGAAAATTTTACAGAACAGAATGCTTCTTGGAGCTTGATAAGGCAGGGTGCCCAAGGAAACCAATAAATCCAGGAGCTCGTGGAGAAACATAAATTCTGGGTCTCAGAGCCCAAAAGGGTGTGACCACAAGGTGATAGCCATAACCAAGACTCTGAACCACTGCCACCCAATGGCCAGGGCCACATCCAAGCCCTGCACCTGCAATGGCCTGTGGTTGCCTTCTCCCATCAAATACACACCCCCAGATCCCTACACCCTTCCCAAGCTTTCATGGCAGGTTCCTGGCTGTTCCCTGTCTGGATATGGATCTCATAAGCCATCCTTCCTCTCTTCTCACCATTGCAACCCATCCATGCCTTTACACACACACACACACACAGAACAAAATTGACTGGTCTTGGTTTGTGTGCAGTGCAAATCCCTTACTACTGCACTTTGTTCACTACCAGTTATTTTGTCCATGAGCCCTGCACTCCTGTGTATCTTGATGTGAGCTCCTAGCAAGTATAGTTCACATCACTGTAATTCTCTTGAAAATTTCATGCTCTATGACCCACAGTGAACCCGAAGCCAGACGGATTTACAAAGACAAAGCCGTGCCTGTCTGCATCCCTGCCCACCCTCCGCCTAGAGGTCCCTCCTTCAGATCCCTCGTGCACATGATGTGCTGCAGCTGATGTCCTCTCCTCACAGTCTTCTCAAATCCTACTCTGAGCAACTCATTTATATTGTGAGGTTCATTTAAACTGGCGCTCTTAATTTCTCATAGAATCTTGAATTTTAACCTACCTTGTACTGGAGGAATGAAAGACGTAGAAGGCAGAAGAGACATAATGTTAGGAGGTTTGGATTCAATGTCAAAAAACTTGCTTCTCGTCATGGTTCTGGCTCCTGTTGAACCCCACAAAGTCCCTTTCCCTCTCTGGACCCCAGTTTCCCCAGCTGTAAAATGAGAGCTTAGGACACAGAACTAGAGGACCGATCTCATTCTGTCATTCTATGCCTTCTTCTTATCCAAGCACAGTACAGAGCTGAGAGAAGAACGCAGACTTTGGGACTAGAGGGAGCCGGGTTCCAATCCTGGCTTTGCCATGCATTAGCTGTGATGTGGGGCAAATTACCTAACTTCTCTGAGACTCAGTTTTCTCCTCCATGAAGTAGAAAATAAATAAAAATCTCTGCCCTCACAGTACTGGGATGAGAACTGGAGAGGGTGTATGTAAAGCCCCTGTTGGAGACTTAATGCAGAGACAGGCTCTACATAAAGAGCAGCTACCACCCTTCTTGTGCATTCGTCAGGGGCTCACTGACCTCGGTCAGCAGCTGGAACAAGTATGACATAGGTCAGAGCCTCCAGTATGGAGTCCCCAAACCACACAGGTAGGGAGTAGCCTACAGCCATGTACAATTCAGAAGCAAAATTTAGGAGAAGCTGACTGTTGGGGGGTGTGCCCTATCAGTATCTGAGCTGAAGGAGGCTGTCCCTCGGCTCGCTAGGGGCGCCCAAGTACAAGGAGGTTTAATCAGTAACCTGAAAAATAGGTGGGGTGGCAGGGAAGGCAGGGAGAGAGGTTGGGCACTTAATTTATTTATATGACCATCCCTACACCAGCTCCAAGGGCAAAGAGTGCCCTTTCCATGGCAACCACAGTCAACAGACTTTCACCAGCTTGAACTGTGGACTTGGAAAATGCTTGCCTAGGAGAAGGGGAAGCCCAGTTCCCTTCTCTACATGCACATGAGACAGGTACCACCTGAGGAGCTGAATCAAGGAGTGACTCCCTCCCCAATCTCCCCCTCCTTGCAGGGTGACCTCCCCACCACCCTGCTTGCATTCTTTGCTGTCTTAGTAGACTGCTGCCCTGCCCTCCCTCAGGAAACCAAGGTCTGATTCCTTCAGCCCTCCCAGCATTTCCCAGTCCAGGCTCTGCACACCAGTCTAACAAAATAAGATGGAAAAGCTGAGGCTTTTCATTTGTAACTAAAAATGAACCCTGAAGAGAAGAGGAGAAAGTGAAGGAGGCAGAATTGTGACATTAGTAGAAAAGGCACAAAGGCACCCAGCAAGGGCAGGAGCATACGAATCAGGAATCTGCATAGACAGGAAGCACTGTTGCTCAATGTTAGTCCCAACTCCAAGGCAAAACTCTATCAGTCTTATCAATAATAGCATGCTTTCATTGAGTTCTGTAAAAACTTATGAGCTATACCATTCAATGAGGAAACAAACAATAGTCTCTTCAATAAATGGTGTTGGAAGAACTGGATATCCACATGCAAAAGAATGAAGTTGAACCCCTACCTCACACCATACACAAAAATTAACTCAAAATGGATCAAAGCCCCAAATGTAAGAACTAAAACTACAATACTCTAAAGAGAAAACAGGGGATACATTTTCATAACCTTGGACTTGGCAATGAACTCTTACAAATGATACCAAAACCATGAGCAACAAAAGATAAAATAGATAAATTGAACTTCACCAAGATTTAAAACCTTTACTCATCAAGGGACACTATCAAGAAAATGAAAAGACAGGCTGGGTGTGGTGGCTCATGCCTGTAATCCTAGCACTCTGTGAGGCTGAGGTGGAAGGATCACTTGAGCTCAGGAGTTAGAGACCAGCCTGAGCAAGAGCAAGATCCCATCTCTAAAAATAATAATAATAAATAAGAAAGTGAAAAGACAACCTATAGAATGTAAGAAAATATTTGCAAGACATATCTGATAAGGGTCTAGCATCCAGAATATATAAAGAATTTTTACAACTGAACAACAGAAAGACAAATGACCCAATCAAAAAAAAAGTTTGTTCATGTGAGCCAGGACAAGAAGGTATTAAGAGGGAAAAAAAAATTTGTGATAGTTTGAAGACCTATACATATATTAATGTATTTCCTTTCAAGAAAGAACAACCAAATGCAATGTATAAATTTCATTTGGATCCTGATGCAAACAAACTGTAAGAAAACATTTTTGAGATAATCATGAAAATTTGCATATGGACCAGGTATTAAATTACCTAAATTAAGAAATGACCATGAATTTTGTTAGATTTGATAATAGCACAATGGTTTTTTTTTTTAAGTCAAAGGTGCATTCTGAAGAATTTAAAGTGAAATAATGACACGATATCTGGGATTTGATTTAAAATACTGCTGAAAAAAAGTAGAAGAGGATAGATGAACCAAAAATGGCAAAACGCTGGTAATTGTTAAAGCCAAGTGACCAGGATTAGGTCCATAAGTACTTGTTATACTGTTCTATCTCTGCTTATGTACGTTTGAAATTTTCCATAGTAAAAAACCCTACAAGTGTTATTATATTGTTATTATATTATATTGCTATTGTCTCAGCTTTAAGTAATCAAGAAAATAAAAGCACTAACGACTGCGTTTTCAGCACCCTACCTAGCCTGAGTAGAAGGCTCGATTCAGATCCAACCCAACTCAGATCTCACCCAGGGAAGATCTTTCGTAAGATGCTGAGATTGGTCTAATCTCGTCTTTGGTACTGGATAAGACAGGACAAGAAAAGGGAGGAAAACTGACTATAGCCGATGAGATAACCCTTTTGATAGAACAATGAGCCCATTGTAACTGCTGGCTAAGCGGGAAGGCTGGAGCCACTCCCTCTGAGATCTCAGAAAATGCCACTTCTCTCTCTGCCCTGCCGAAACCCAGAGCTCCTCACAGAGAGTGTTAAGGGCTCTCAATTAGTCATGTTCATCATCAGTATATCTCACATCCCAATAATTCTCTATGTTAATAATAAACCAATTTACTTGATCCTCACCAACACCCAGTGAGCTAGGCAAGGCAGGAATCACAAAGAAACAGCTAAGTTCCAGAAAGTTTATGCCATTTGTCCCAGGTCACCTGCTAATGAGCCGTGGGACAGACCAGGAGCCCAGCTTGCTGTAATTATTCTCCTTGGTGGTTTTCTTATCACGACCCTATTTTCTTCCTCTTATTCCTTATTATTCACATATTTTTCTCTCTTTTTTTTTCTCCACTCTTCGCTGTTGCTTTAACTTTTATTAGACCAACAATCACCTTGTGGACAAAATAAAATGAAAAAATGCCAACCAAAACTCATTAAGCAAACTTTTCTCTTCCCACCATCTTTTGGGCTGTCAGAAGCATATCTCAGAACTTCAGTGGTTTTCTGAGGGGATGGGGGGGTGCTTTGTTTTGTTTTTACCATCAAGAAGAATTGACTTGAATGCTTTCAAGGAAGAAAAAGCGAAGAAAGAAGAAATGTAAAACCTGTTCCAGGAGGTCAGCCAAGAGCTCTGCCCAGCTTTCAAAGGCACCCCAGTGGCCAGCCAATCCTGGAGAAAACCTTGGGGCCTACAGCTCCAAACTGGCTAAATGGTAAGGGGACAGCCACAGTGGTTGGGCTCAGAGACAGTAAAAACCCCCCAGAGGGTTCGCAAGGAGCCAATTTCAAGCAAATACAGGAGCCTCCTGCATGGAAAAGGATAATGAACTATGAATCAGAGGCCTGGGAAGTACTTTCCGTCTCAGAGTTTTCATTTCTCTGTCCCTAAGACAGAATCTCAGGGGTCCCTTCCAGAGCTGGCACTGACTGCCCATGTTTAAGTGCATCCGAAATGTCACCTGGGGTTAGATTTTGACCCTCACAAGGCACCAAGGCTCCTGGCTGCCTCTAAGGTTGGATTCAGTCCTAGATATGGCTGACTCTCCTTTCTTTATAACTGACAAACAAAAAGTGTATATATTTATCATATATGACATGATATTTTTAACACATTAACTGCCCTATGAGTTGCATTTAATTCACACTAGTTTTGAGCTGTGGCCTCATGAAGTATATGTAATTCACATGTCTCTTCACCTTGGGAGCTGCAAGAACTATTTTTCAAGTTCTGTATAACTCATGCACAGAAAACAATAAAAAAATAACAAATTTTTCATTCAATTAGAAAGGATTGTTTTGTTTTCAAAGTTTTTATTCTATAAAAATATATATATTATATATAGATAACATATATATAAAACACCGTGGCCCCAAGGAAAAATTTTTTTGTAGTGTGGCAGTCAATGTGTTCAATATGTACATGTTGTGGGATGGCTTAATCGAGCTAATTAACACATGCATTAACTCATATACTTATCATTTTGTGATGAAAACACTTAAAATCTTTTTTAGCAATTGCCAAAATATGATTATTGTTATTACTGCATTGTTATTAACATTGTTATCAACTGTAGTCACCATGACACACAATAGATCCTTTGAACTTATTCGTCTTATCTAACTGAAACTTTGTATCCTTCGACCAACGTCTCCCCAACTCCCCACCTGTCCCCAGCCCCCATGACCACCATTCCACTCTCTGCTTCTATGAGTTCAACATTTTTAGATTCCACATACAAATGAGATCATGCAGTATTGGTCTTCCTGTGCCTGGCTTACATCACTTAACCTAATGTTCTCCAGGTTTATCTGTGTTGTCACAAATGACAGAATTTCCTTCTTTTTTTAGGTTAAATGGCATCCCATTGTGTCTATATACCACATTTTCTTTATGCATTCATCCATTGATGGACACTTCCATTGAGTCCATGTCTTGGCTATCGTGAATAGTGCTGCAATGAACAGGGGGTTGCTTAGATCTCTTCGACATACCAATTTCCATTCCTTTCCTTTGGATATATACCCAGAAGTGGGACTGCTAGATCATATGGAAGCTTCAAACCTAACTCTTTTTAAATCTTCCATTAAGAACTGCTTTCCCTGAATCTTCTTAAACCTGTTTATTTTTAACCTGCACCACCGTGAACAAGGAGTTTCATTAAACTCCATTGGCTCCTTAATGCGTGAAACAGGACTTTGCCTGAAAGAGCAGGAAGATTTAAAGGACCAAGTCAAGAGAGCTGCCTCTTGATGACCAGCTGGGGAGTGACAGTGGGCAGCCTCTGACGCAGCCGGGGCCCAGCCCCCGGGGCAGCAGACTCACCGAGATCTTGGTAAAAATGTAGAGCAGCAGGGACAGGATGGAAAGGTAGACCTGGATCCGCTTGCCTCCAAACCGCTTCCGTAGGTACTGTGGCATCGTCACCACCTGCATGGGATGCGACGGAGGTCACCGGCCAGCCAGAGTGCTCAGAGAGCCCAGAGCAGGCAGAGCAGTAGGACCCACCCTGGTGTCAGAGCCACAGAAGTGTGGTCAAGGATTCCAAGCCCTCATTGGCCAAAGAAGTCTGCAAGGTAGGAGAGGGCCCTTGACCTCCAGCCATTTGCTCATTTCCATCCCGAATGCCCCACCACTGTAGGGGTAGTTAGGTGTTATCTCAGCACACATAGCGTGCCCAAGAAACACCAGTTGTTGAATGAACACATGACTGGGCATAACTAAGGAGGCAGATCCTTGCCATGGAGGAGGAGGGGATAGATATAGATATAGATATAGATATAGATATAGATATAGATATAGATATAAAATCAACCCCCCTATCTGTGGGTTTCACATTCACAGATTGAAAATATTTGGAGAAAAAAATTAACAATACCACAATTTTAAAAATACAAATTTAAAAAGAATATAGTACAAAAACTATTTACATAGCAATTGCATAGTATTAGGTATTACAAGTAATCAAGAAATTATTTAAAATATATGGGAGGATGTGCATAGGTGATATGCAAATACTACAACATTTTATGTAAGGGACTTGAGCATCCTTGGATTTTGGTATCCTTGGGGGATCCTGGGACCAATTTCCATGGATGCTGAGGGATGACTCTCTCTCTATATATATATATATTTCTATACAGAAGACCTACTGCAAACAAGACATCATAACAGTGGCATCTTCCCAGTGCATGCAACAAGTTGGCCAGGATAGATATGGCTTCACCGTGCTTTGCACACGGGCAGTGCCAAGGACTGTGGCTGCAGGCCTGCCTAGCTGCTCTCCCAGTTCCGTTCTGCAAATTCCAACCACACTTTCTATCTTGCTCCCTCAAGAGCCTGTTGTCTCTTGGAACCAGATATGTGTTACCGGCCATCTGTGAGCCTCTAGAAAATGAAGAGTCTGCCCTGTGGGGTTTTTTTCCCCCATATTGCTACTAGCTCCTAATGTATGGACTCACATGGAGTGGGTGTCCATTAGATCTCATAGAACAGATGATACTGAAACTGCCCTGTGTACAATTTCTGAGAGGCACAGTCAGGAGACCAAGCATGCATTGAATAGTTGAGTAGTAGCTGCGTGCTTAGCAAATAAGAGCTGCTGATGTGTGTAAATGATGGGAAAATACAGTTCTTCTATTTCTCAAGCTGCTTCCTTTCTAGGGGCAGAGGCTACAGAAAGTTGGTTATATATGAAAGCAAATGCATGGCAGTGCAGCATTAAGTGCACACCCAGGGTGAGGGGACATGATGCTTCAGAGGGGTCTGGACAGAGCAAGGTTGCTTGGGGAACTTCCTAGAGGAAAGAGTCATGAGCCTGGACTGAAAAGATCCATCAGACCCAGGCCCAGTGGACCTGTTTAATGCCCCTACGGGCAGCCAGGAACTTTATAACCCGGGAGCAAAAGCTAATCCACAGGTTTTCTCTGCCATTTATCCCATAAAGTCTCTTCTGGCCTCCAGGAGGACCAAACTCACAGGTATATTTGCTCTCGGGAAATGCAATAGCAGAGCAGATACTCACCCCGGCTTTAATGTAGATGGGGACAAACAACCAGCCCAGCACAACCACCAAAACCAGGGCCTGAAACCAAAACGAGAGGTGGATTTAAACCAGGAGGAACCTTAACCCATCTCTGCCACCTGAAGGGTCCCTCGGCTGCTGCAGGAAAATCACTCAGCATTTTCTTTCTTTGGCTCTGAGGACACTCGCTAGGGAGCCCTTAGAGACTGGAGCAGCCCTTTGCTGCCCACCCGGCCTGGGGAGACGGCAGTCGGACGACGGTGGGAGGGGAGCCCGGGCTGCCCACCAACATCACAGCCTGCGCCCCAGCCAGAACGCCAAGTTCACCCTGGCCTCTTCCCTGGTTTACTAGGAGTAAAATACCATTTGAAGAGCCATAATGATGATGATGATGATAATATAATAATGGAAATCTGGTGGTAATCCTCTAACACGGCTGGAAGGGTGCTGGGGCTTTGGCTCTTTAACATCAAGAGGAAAGAGAAGAAATACTTATTGGTATCCCACCAGCAGTGTTCTCATGCTACTCTGGAGGAAGGGGAGCAGGACTCTAGAGAGCCTGAAGCCACGCCCCTCCTCTATCTGCACCCCGGGAGGCCTGCAAGGTTCCCTAACACCTGGAACTCGCAGAGCACAGACTAGACTGGCTGGGGCTAAGGGTCCTTCCCGCTGCAGGGCACTGTGCATGGCTCCGGTCTGACTCACGTTCCATTCAAAGCCCCCCATGGCGATGCCTGAAGCTGCTCCGGTCCCGGCCAGCCCGACAAAGTGGCCACTGCCGATGTTACTAGCGAAGAGAGAGGCTCCAATCTGGAAACACAAAGACAAGGTCAGGTGAGGACTCTGTGCTCGAGCAGGACACGCGGGGTGGGCCGCAGAGAGAAGAGGCAGCCGCCAAGACAAGGACAAGAAAGAGCAGGGGGATGGGCACTCGACTGTGCTGGGGGTCGTGAGCACCACTGGTTCAGAAGCGGACAGTGGACCTGGGAAAACAGTAAAGGTGAAAAGGAGAGGATTGGGGAAGGAGCAGTGGGCTGTACCCCCAAATGGGATAATCTGCGAGTCTTTGGGGAGCCCAGTGCCCAATAGTGAAGAAGACATGGGAGATCCCACAGCCTGTGGGGCCCTGTCCAGAAGTCCACCCTTCTCCCCCCATCCTCCATCTGGAGGCTTAGGGTCCTGCCCAGTACAGGTTCCCAGGAAACACTGACAATGTCCTTGAAAGGAATTATTTAAAAGGAAGCCTCTGGGCCTCAGTCACCTTGTCAAATAAGGAGGGTTATGGGGCCAGTCATTGCCAAGTGATTCCTAGCTGTTAAATTATGTGATTCCATGGATACCCAAGTAGAGATAATACTACTAATAATAATAATTCTCTAAATCCATATAGCATTTCTATTTTTCTATTCCACAAAGGCCCTAGAGGCCACACAGACACATGCACAAAACACGGAATTTTTCAAGGATACTCGTATGTCTAAACATACAGAAGACAGATATACTCAAGACTGGAAGACTGGAAGGGGAATGGATCAGAGGGAGAGCATTCCAACAAAGCAAAGACTTCCTGCTCACGCCTGTAATCCTAGCACTCTGGGAGGCCTAGGGGAGGATCACTTGAGGCAAAGAGTTCAAGACCAGCCTGAGCAAGAGCAAGATCCCATCTCTACAAAAAAATAGAAAAATTAGACAGGAACAGTAGTGCATGGCTGTAGTCCCAGCCACTCAGGAAGCTGAGGCAGGAGGATTGCTTGAGCCCAGGAGTTTGAGGTTATAGTGAGCTACGATGATGCCACTGTACTCCAGCCTGGGTGGCAAGAGTGAGACCCCCATCTCAAAAAAAAACTTCTTGGAGTAGGAGAAGCATGTTGGCTGCATCTAGGTGAACAAGGACAGCAGCTTGGACTCGGTGGTAGCAGTTGAAACAAAGACAAGTGTAGGGATTGGAAGAATGTTTTAGAAACAAAGTTGATGGGTTGGATGTAGCATATGAAGGACAGGCTAATCAAGGGTAGACTGCTAGATTTAGGGCTTGAGTAACTGGGTGGATGCCACTCATTAAGAAGGGGAAGCCAGGGGGAAGCAGGTTGTTTAGAGACATCCACCTCTTTCTGCTGAAAGCTTGGTGAGGTGACAGTCCACTTTTAATCAAAATGTTCCTTCTGCAAGTGACCTACCTGTCCTGAGCCATTATCTTTTCATTTATCACCTCTTGCTTGATCAATTATTAAGCCTAATGCTGTACTGTTAAGGACATAATTACCAGAAATGATTAACTACATTAGCTTAATCATAAATTCAATAAGTCCTCTCAGGTACCCACCCCTCAAAGGGGGCATCGTACCTAAAGCCATCTCGGGCTGTCCTGAGGTTCCGCCCCCTCACCATCTGAGAAGGGGTTAGAATGGGGCCAGGAGAGCTTGGGGTACCACAATGTCCTGGGCTCAGGTTTGGTTCATCTCTTTCAGGGGTACCACCTGGGCCTCATTCTAGACTCACTCTCTTTACCCCACGACCTGCACTGAATCATTTACCAAAACTCTGACTCTGCCTTCACAGGGTCATGGGCTTCTAGCACTTTCTATATCACCTTTGTGCTGCCTGTCACTATCTCTCAACAGGACTATGCAACAGGCTTCTAGAGGATCTCTGGTCTCTCCCTCCTGTCAGTTACACATACACACACACACACACACACACACAGCCAATTACCTCCCCAAAGCACAACTCTGATCAAATCATTGCTGAATTCAGAGACCCTCCCAGACACCCTAAAGGCCTGCCAAGCCGTCTCCCTGACAGCTCCAGACTTAAAGACATAGTCATGGGAATCAGCAAGGTTTCAAGGAGAAGTTCCCTCCAGCGCAAAGACAGCATGTGTGAGCTTAAAAACTCAAGTTTGACGAAGGACTTTCTAATCATTTTCCCCCAGTGGAATTGTAGTATGCAAGAAAATAATGCCATACACCTAACTGCAAAAAAGTAAAAACTCAATATAAAAACTCAGTTAATCTAGGAACAAGCAATGTTGGTAACAAAGACTGAGCTTCCTCTGAGCAAATCAACTCTCAGATTGGTTAATAAGGAACTAGATTTGCCAAGGATGGTCTCTTGATTTGATATAATCAATTTCTTCCCTGATTGTTCCTTTTTTTTTTTTTTTTTTTTGAGACTGGCCTCACTCTGTCACAACGGCTAGAGGGCAGTGGCATCATCACAGCTCACAGCAACCTCAAACTCCTGGGCTTAAGTGATCCTCCTGCTTCCAAGTAGCTGGGACTACAGGCATGCGCCACCATGCCTAGCTAATTTTTTCTATTTTTTGTACAGATAGGGTCTCACTCTTGCTCAGTCTGGTCTTGAACTCCCAACCTCAAGGTATCCTCCTGCCTCGGCCTCCCAAGAGTTAGGATTACAGGCATGAGCCACTGCACCTGGTCTCTTCCCTTTACATTATCCACCTGCTTTGGAACTAAATCATTTTTACTTAGGAACAAAGGAAATTTTTTTTACTTCCATTATTTGCTGCAACTATCTTATGTTTTACTGGCTATATAACTAAATTGTAATATTGAGGGCTGAATATGAAATATATAATAAATTAGGGGCAAATCTGACATGATAAACAATAAAGATACTTAAACTGTTACATTAAAAAAAAAGCTCAAGTTCAAATGCTTTCTTGACCTCTTACTATCTGGGTGCTCACAACATCTGTGAGCCTCCACGTCCCCTCATATAGTGTTGCGGAGGAGTCAGATGAGATTACGGATCAGCAAGGAATGACACTCAGCGGACCTTCAATCAATGTCCCTTCCTTCCCATCTCCTGCCAACAGGACAATTACTTAGTCTTCAAAGACAATTCACAAGAGCTACAATGGACACTGTTATAGACTAAACTGCGTTCTCCCCAAAAAATTCATATGTTGTACCCCCAAGACCCCAATGTGACTATATTTGGAGATGGAGCCTTTAGGGACATAACGAGGTTAAATGAGGTCTTAAGGAGGGGGCTCCAATCTGATAGAATGGCTGTCTTTATGAGAAGAGACACCAGAGATCTCTCTGTGTGCCCCAACGCACACAGGGAAGACGCCATACAAGGACACTTAGAGAAGGGAGCTGGCTACCAGCCAGGAAGAGAGGCGTCACCAGACACCAACCCTGACAGCACTTTGATCTTGGACTTCTAACTTCTAGAACAGTGAGAAAGTTAATTTCTGATGTGTAAGACATCCAGTCTGTGGTATCTTATTATTGTGGCTTGAGTAGACTAAGCCGGACACCATCACTTTAACACCTATGGTCCCCTGCCAGTTCTCATGCCGCCCTCCTCTTCCTGGAGCTCATCAACAATGCTTGCACAGTCTGAGCAAGAGCAAGACCCCGTCTCTACACAAAAATAGAAAAATTAGCCAGGTGTAGTCCAAGCTACTTGGGAGGCTGAGGCAGGAGGATCACTTGACCCCAGGAGTTTGAGGTTGCTGTGAGCTATGATGATGCCACTGCACTCCAGCCTGGGAGACAGAGTGAGACCCTGTCTTAAAAAAAAAAAAAAACTTTCGGCACACTGATTTCCCAAACACTCTCTCTGTCCACTCCTCACCCACGCTCATGCCCATTTGGGAATCATGCCCCATCTCGGGAGTGACCCAGTGACATGAGTCATCATGCCCTTCTCTGTAGTTTCCTCCCACATTCCTTCTGAATTCAGGATTTTAAACTTTATCTAACATTTCTCCAGCGTGGCCTTGCTTTTCACTAACTTCTTTCCAAGCCGTCCTATGCCATGATGGTGCTCAAAAGTATTGAGATAGTTTTCCCGCCAAGGTGCAAGATGAACCAGGTATGACCAAACCCAACAGGTTTGAGAGCATAATGTCACATCACAGAAGACAAACATACTATGTTTTTGACTTTAGGGAATTCATGATCACATTTGACTGCCTAGATTTCCTATCCTAGAAGGTTGGCAAGAGGGGAGACAGAGAAATTAAAGAATCATAGAATCGTCCAGAGCTGGCTGGGTCCATAGATGTGACAGCTTAAGTTCTCTCTGCAATCCCTCCCAAGCAATAGTCACCTGAATGCAGACCTCTGGTGATAGAGAACTTTTCACCTTACAGGAGAGCTGAAACCATGGTAGAAAACCTCTAATTGCTAAAAAGTCATTTTTTTCCTTGACCTGAAATCTACCCATCAGTCCCACTTCTGCCTGGATACCAAACAAGTCAAAGCTAGCCCTTCCAATATCTGAGGACAAGGGTGGTACCCCCACCCTTAAATATTCTCCAGACTAAGCCTCCTCTTCTCATGTGTCTGCTCCTCACTCACCCTGGACTTGAATCTCATCATCCTTGTTGCTCTCTGTTGCCCTCAGTCCCATGTCTGTCCCCAAGCAGGCTCAGGCCTGCAGAGGCTATTCGAGACAGGAGCTGTCCAGAGTGAAGCGGGCTCCCTTCTTGACATCATCTACCCTCGTCCCCTCTTTTAAACCTGACATTCAGCCATGGGTCCTTGGCAGTAGAGAGGATCTAGACCAGTGCTAATTCCCATCACTGTTTGAGAATTTGCTTCTACATAATTGTAACATTTAACAAGAATGGATTTCCTCCCATTGCAATTTAGATTGCTGATAGGACCAATTTGGTTTAGTTTAATAAGACAGTGGTTCTACCACTTAAGTTTTCTTTCACTTCAATCCCTCCAGGGTTTGGCAAAAATTTGATGTTTTCCCATGAATCTTCTCTAAAGAGAAAACTACCTCAACCACAATGGAAAACATCTGGCAAATCATGTCTCCCTGCA